CACGAGGGTGACGGGACGAGGCTGACACGAGGGTGACGGGACAACAAAGCTCCAACACGTCCCAGAACCAACTGTCCTCTGTGTTGTTCTGCAGGTTCTGGGGAAGATCCCGACCATCTCCATCAACAAGACGGACGGCTGCCATGTTTACCTGAGCAAAGACTCTCTGAGCTGTGAGATCATCAGCGCCAAGAGCTCTGAGATGAACGTCCTGGTTCCCAACAAGGACGGAGAGTTTGTGAGTAAAACCAGACCAGAGTGAAGGAGTGTGTATAAATACATACATATATCCAGTTGTCTGTAATAAACCCAGACGTGATGAACAGACTGACTGCTGTTATTATGGGATGTTTTTCAGACGGAGCTTCCTGTTCCGGAGCAGTTTAAGACCATCTGGGATGGTCACAAACTGGTTACCACAGCAACAGAGATCGCAGGGTAGATGGAAGCCACGCCTCCTGCCCCTCCCCCTGCTTTCACACTGTAGACTGAGATTCAGAGCTCATCAGTTAGCCCCGCCCTCCCCTCTTCACCAGCCAATCACAGCTGCAGCTGTTCCTTTGTTAGCCAATGAGAGGGCTACTCGCTCTCTGGAGTAGATCCTCCAGCCAATCAGCAGCGAGCAGCTCACCCTTTAGTTGGTACCTGTCTGGACACACCTGAGCTAAGCTGAGTGTGTAGATTAGATCTTCTGCAGCCAATCAGGCGCCTCCGTCAGGATGCTTCACTTCCTGTTTCATTCTCTACGACTTCCTGCTGAAGAAACGCAGGACATTCCTACAAGTTAGAAACATTCCACCCCCCCGACCCCCCCTGACCCCCCATCTGTAAAAATCTTTATTTTCTGGGTCCAGAAGCAGAACTGGGTCCATCAGAGCTGAGAATCAATAAAAAGTTGCAATAAGATCAGAGGCTTGTGTTTTTATTGGACTAAAACTTTAAAACTTTTACAGTTAAAAGATTCAAATACAAACAGCATACAGCTGGACCTGATCAGAACCGGCTCAGATTCAGAACCTTCTGTTAGAACAGCAGGAGACAGTCAGTGCAAACAGAACCAGGACCTGCTCAGGGTCTACCTCAGGAGGGGCAGCAGGTTCTTCTGGAACCAGCCTTCAGGGAACTGCAGGTGGTCCCCGTCAGCCGACAGGAAGACCAGCTTCCCAGCTTTGTCCAGGACCGCCAGACCCAGCCGGTCCTGCAGAGACCCCATCAGACATGTCACATGTTCTAACTAAAAACCATCATCAGAACCAAACCCGGGTCTCTGGGATCCTTACCTCCTTGTAGAGGACGCTCTCCTGCAGAGTCTCCGTCTCTTTGGCCTGACCCGTCTTCAGGAAGCCGAACCACTGAGACACCAGAGAGCCTCCATCAGCTCGGTTCTCAGTCCAGAACCTCACACAGAAAACACATCAAACATGTGGGTTCTGGTTCTGAACCCGTTACCTCAGAGTCCACCGGGTCCACCACGGTGTCCTGCAGGAACTTCACCATCACAAACTTCTCCAACTGCAGCAGGTTCTTCTTGTAGGTCTCATTCACCACCTGAAACAGAACCAGGGGCTGGTGAACCGGGCCTGCTGTCAGAACCAATCACAGGCTGCTGCTACTGACCCGCTCCTGGTTGATGTCGGCCAGAAACAGGCTGTACTTCCTGTACAGGTCGTCATTCAGCGGGTCGTGCCAGTACTGGGCCTGTACGAGGCTGACACACACACACACACACACACTTCCTGTTACATCACGACTCAGAGGCGGGACCAAACCACAGCTTCCTGTTGGACTCACTGTTTCTGCACCAGGTCGCTGTAGGCCCCCCGGTTCAGAGCCTCACGGATCATGTTGCAGATGGAGGAGCTCTCCCCAGGACACCTGGGCAGGCCGTACACACCTGGAGTACACACACACACACACACACACACACACACACTGGGTTCATCCCTCTGTTGCACAAAGTTCTGCTGTCAGAGGACGGGCTCACCTTGGTGCTGTCCTCCCACAGAGATCAGCGTCTTCATTGGAGGAGAGGGACAGCGCTGGGCCACAGCCCTCCTGTAAAGACAGGAACCAGGATCAGAACCCGGTCCTCAAACAGAACCCAGCTTCAGTTCTCTGCAGGACCACGTACAGGAACTGAGCTCCTTGTGAGAAGCCCATGGCGTTGTAGCCCCCCTGCAGCCTGGGGTCCTGGGCCAGCTGACGACACACCATGGACACCTGAGTGTTCACGTCCAGGAAGAACCCGCTCTCCGTGTCCTGCACCACGAGACACCAGGACAGGCCCGGAGCTTAGAGGGGACATTGTCCCAGGGAAAAGACACGACAGGAAGTCTTATTTTGAAGGAGACTCTGTACCTCCAACACGTTCTTCCCGATCATCAGTGAGAGAACGTAGATCCCAGGGATCTCCTCCTCGATGCTCTTCTTCAGGAAGCCCAGGCTGAGCGGGTTACAGCAGCTGTCACCTGCAGGACACGTGCACGCTCGTTAGTGCACGCTCAGGACACGTGC